TGTTTCCCCTCAGCCCCACAGGGCCCGGCTTTCGCGACCCTCAGGCCCCGCGCTGTGGGGCACTGCGGTACCCTGCGGGCTCCAGCGGTGAGCCGGCAGTACGGGGGGTGCCGGTGGGTTTGCTCGCGGCTCCTGGCCAGGGTCGGTTCCCTTGGGTGCAGGGTCTGCAGGTGTCTCCCCTCGGGTGGGTCGTGCTCTGTCTACCCCAGAGAAGTGGGCTGGCTGGGAGTGCGTGGGTGGCTGCCTGTGGAGGTTTCCCGTAGACTGCCCTTTCCCCTCCCCGTAGTGATGGTGTGTGTTAGAGCTGTCTTGCAGAACTGGATCGGTGCGTCAGTCTACCTGGCTTTCCTCTTCTGGGCTTGATGGCTGGTCTGTGCCCAAGCTAGAGCTGACTTTGTCATGCTTTTAGGGCCCCGCAGCTGCACGTTTTCTTTATAAAACAGCCTGCATAGGTTTCCTTATTCCATAGGGTCACACGATGACTTCCCTTTAGAGCTGAGCATGTGTGGGGTTTTGGAGGTCAACGATATTCTCAACAGTTTCATATTTGCCTGATGCAGTAAAGGTTATTAATTTCCTTGCACATTTTCCATTTCATCATTCTTATTTGTCTAGATATGTAGCTGTGTGCTATTAGCTGGTACTGCATCACATTCTCTTTCCATCCCCCTCACAGATGAAGCTATTATCTTTCGCTTCCTTCTTACCTGTGAAGGATTTGATTTGGTCTTTATTTCCTAAGTAAATCCTGATCTTGGCACCCTTGCTGTGTATGTTAATGGCAGCGGAGCCTGCTTGCAGCACATGGAAATTCCGCTTCCTCCTTGCTTTAGCAGCAAGACCTATATGTGTGTGGGTTCCCCACATGCCTCCTTTAAGTGGTTGAATCCATAGCCTTCTGCTTAGCTGCACACATAGCTACGTGTGTGTCCCATGTATTCGTAGATTCGTGCATGTGTTTTCCCATTAAATGAGTGGATTTATGGCCCTCTAATTATACCAGCACCAGCACTTCAATGAGTTTTTATTATGAATCATTGCACAGCATAATGCCTTGGCAAGAGGGCTCCTTGTAAATAAAACGATTTCTGGAACTAGCCAATTTATTTTTTAAAATCCTGTATCTTGGGTGCTGTCATTTACCTTTAAAGTATCAATGCCCCCTTTCTTTCTGGCTGCCCATGGGATTGGGACAGGAGTGTGGGGTGCCAGGGAAGGTTTGTGGGTAGATTTGTATAGCTGGGACCATGGATATTGTGTCGTACAGCTGACAGTAGTAATTTATGGAGATGTTTGCACAAGAGGAAAGGCAGGGAGTAACGAAGTTTGGGGTAGTTGATACCTTATGATGGAGGGGACCCTGTCTGTCAGCTTGTGGAGAATCGGTTTAATTAAACCCAAGGGACTCTTAACCTATGGAGTGGAAAGTGAGCAGCATATCTTCCTGCAGTACTGCCTGATGCAATAAGCTGCCGTGATCCAGGGGTGGATCCCTCTCTGCTTTACTGGTCTATGGGACAAAGCTGCAGCAAAATTTGCCACATCGAGTGCTGCTGTGCACTCCTCTTCTGGGTTGGGCTCAAGATTGTAGCTTTAATTAGATTGAGACCTGTCAGCAAACATAATTATTTGCTTCAGTTGTGGTTGTTTTTTTTTTCTTTCTCCTCGCGTATGTCTGAGTCCTCTTACTTATAGATCAGGACAAAGAGTTGCTGTATGCTGCTTCTAGATGCTCAGCAGTGAGCAGGGTGATAGCTCTGTTGAGTCAGCAGTAGCTACTTTGCTGCTGCCTTGATGTTTTTCCACTGCCGACCCCCTAGCTCAACAAAGGCAATTTGGATTTACTACTTTAAAAGGAAAAAAAAAAAAAAGATCAGATCCCTCCCTCTGCCACGTTATGCAGGAATGGCAGTTGAAGTCCTCAGCCCTAGAGTGAAACTTTCACATTTTGGTGTAACTAGTTAACAGGAAGGAAACAGTTGATATGTTCTGTTCTTGTAGCCGATGGGGTTAGGAAGCCTGACAGGATTCTTACTTTTCTTTCTTTTTTTTCTGTGTGCTTGTTTGAATGCAGTCTGTTGAGTCTTCCTCCTTTTATTAATAAAATTAGCCTTTGAGCCCCTCAGTCTCTGAAGTGCTTTTAGCTTTTCTAACCTGATTACTGAATGACAATCTGTGTATTCTCTTCTCTTTGGTTTCTCAGTTGCCTGTAATATGCATGTCAGAAAAGCTTAGAATTTATGAAAAAGCTGGTATTATGGAAATGTTGTAGTCTCTTTGAATTGTTTTTTTTTTTCTTTTTGTTTAATGGAAAAGTGCAAGGTGCAAGAAAAATGCTGAACTTGGAGCATCCCATTCTTAGAACATCCCACTTGAGAAGGCGTTGACATCTCTGTGCTTTTTCTTCCTGGGTCAGCTCCTTTGTCCTTCTCAGTAATTCAGGACAGACTGTGGTTTTGGCTGAAGAAGAGTGGACTTTTAATTAATGTATCTCCAAGAGCAAGCTGGGCACGACTGCTGAGAATAGTGTTCAGAAAAGCGTGCTGTTGGGTATTTAGGGGTTGAGCAGTTCCTTGGGATGAAAGGCGAGAATCAAGAATTGTCCCCACAGGGCAGAGAGACCTTTGTGGAACTGTAACAAGGTGATAGTGGTTTGACTTGGGTCATGACCCTGGTATAAGCCCACTGCAGGGTTTTGGTGCCCTGAAATATTGGCATTGGGTTTTTTTTTTTCATGTTGTTTTGTTTGGTGGTTTGGTTTTTTTTAGTCCATTTTATCCATAGTTACTGGACAGGGTTTAAAAACAATAACTAAAATTTGTGTGCTTACTGGCCAGTTTTGAAGGGATATGACAGAGGAAAAGAAGTCTAAAATGGTCATACATTTTGAAGAAAGGGAAGGGATAGAAGGAAGAGAAGCCTTATTAGTGAGAAAGAGAGCACAAAGCCTGTATTGACCGTTTAAGAATCCGTATAGTTCATCCTCAAAGATAGAAAACTAGGATTTGTGGAAATCTTCTGTGAAGTGGTACATGCAGGAGTATATTTGCACACTGAGATTTAATAACAGGTCTGGGACTTAACAATAGTGTGTGGGGGTGGAATTTCTCTAATGCTGTCTAGTTCTGCTAACTCTCATATGCCTAAGTGTTTCTCACTTCTACCAATTGCAGCAGCCTCTTGAGACCTGCGTGGAGGCAGGACAAAACCCTCCCTTTGGATTGCCAGGGGAACCGAAAGAAGAAGAGTTCTTCTCTATGGCATTCAAAGAAAGAATCTGTATCCTGTGTTTTGTCTCCTTCTAGGGAGAGCTGGTAAGGAAGCTGAAGGAAGAGAAAGCTCCCCAGGTGGATGTAGACAAAGCTGTAGCAGAGCTCAAAGCTCGGAAGAGGGTCCTAGAAGCAAAGGTGAGTTTGGAAATTAAACTTGAGTTCCATGGTTTTGTCTGAAAAGCCTTGAAATCTCTACTTAATACTTTTTTTTACGGTAATGATTTGGGCTGAACAATCGTAGCAGGGTAGACTGTTTGAATCACTTCTGAAATAGTTTGCAAGTTTCCGACTAGTGGCAATTTCCTTCTTTATTTGTTACGCTAATATCTATTAGCATTAAATCACAGTGTGTGAACGAATAAATATGAGTTCAGGTTGTTCATAGTCAAAGCTGAAATTCACTGTATGTGTTGCTAATCCTTGTTTACTTTTTTGTGCACAGTGAGAATACACGCTGTTCACTGTAGTGACTTTCATCTTCAGATTCTTTGTGCAGTAGTTAAATTCCCAGACTGGCATAGAACATTGTTCTTTAAAAAACATTTCCTTTGCTACAGTTTAAACAAAGTTTTTGGAGCCATTTCAAATGGCCTATGGTTTTCCTCAGCTTTGGAGAGGGGTGTATTGAAATTGTGCCCCTTTTTTAAATGCTGTTGTGCTCTGAAAAGTCTTTCTGCAAACAAAATCATGGAACTTCAAGTTTGTTTTGTCTCTACATCAATAAACAAGTAAAAATAAACTTCCTTATCCTGCAAGCTTCTCTCCACCCTCAGACTGAAACAACAGAAAGAAACTTCCATAGCATAAAAACAGTCAGATGTGCATAATGATTGAGGAAGCTGCGAGGTTCTTTCTAATTTGTATTTCATAGAAAAATGATTGTAGTTGTGCTTTGGTGGTACTCTTAAAATAGATATACCGCTGCTTACAACTAACTTACTGTGAGAATGCGAGTATGCTTGAATTGAAAACAGTTGACCCTATTTGTCCTACAGAGTTGTGTGACTGAACAGTTAGCACACTCTCTCAGGTCTGGCATTATGGCAACCTGTTTGCATACATTTAACCCGAGTAAAAAGATGTCTTTTTTTTTTTTTTTTAACTTACAGCATAGAACTGTGCTTTGAAACCATCGCATGAAACCTGTACTGATAGCTAGGTCGTCCTGGCGTAAATAGTTTCTAAATGTTTTCCCAATTCTGTTTCCCAGCCGTCGGAAGCTCAACGCAGAGAGATGTAGCAAGGCAGGTTAGGAATCTTGGTATCCCTGTTAGCCCCACCTTTACGTTGGAAGAGTGCCTGTAGGATGCAGTGTAGAGACGTACTTGCCAGTTACACAATTTGTGTGGGCTGTATCCCTGTCAGTGTAAGAATGACCTTGCAAACCCTACATCTGCCCTTTTGAGCGCAGCACTCCAATATAGTCTTTCTTTATTGACGGTGTTTCCAGCGATGCATCATAGCCACTTGGAACTTTTGCAGAAAGCAGCAGTGTGAATGCTTGTTGGCTTGAAAGCTGTACCAGCAACTGCTAAAGCTCTGTGATACGTACTTAAAGGTAGCAGACTGGCGCTGAGTTTGAAGTTTTGAACAGGGCAGAGCAGTTGAATGTTTACAATTCCTTGGCTTATGTCCTCAAACCGTATCTTAAGTCAGTGGATGATTCCGCTGCTATACAGGATCTTTCTTCCCCTCAAAGGCTAACACAGACACTTTTCTGCCTTCTAGGATATGTTTATGATTGTATGCTGGATAGAAGAGACTGTTTCTGTGACTTCTGCACCAGTTTTCACTAGCTATTGTCTTTTGGTGGTAGAAGAGGGGCTCTACAGATTTCTGTAACTACTCCAGTTACTCCTGTGCTGCTGGCCATTTCTCCAGTTCCGAATTGGGCCGTGTCACTGTTATTCTCCTCCTGTCTGTCTCTGGGCAAAAGCTGTTCTGAAATGTGATTCTATGTTTTTGGGCAGAGAGTGGCAAATGGATTCCCTTTCCCTGCTTTAAAAGTACTGTTCTGGTGCTTGCTCTTGTGTGTGCTCTCTACCTGTCTTTGACTTGTTGTCTCTTGTGCAAAGTTACTCCTTGGCTCATGCTAATTCATGGGAGCAGCAGAGGTACAGTGCTTTTAATATTAGACCACGTTTATTTGTCTTTATAGATGCTAAAAAAAGAAAAGTTTGAAATTATTGGTTATACAGTACTTTTTATTACTGAAAGGCTGTTCAAAATGATAGTGTTAGCCACTTAGGAGGATCCGAATTAATTTATTTAACTTCTGGGCTTAACTGCTTTAGTTATCGAAACATCTTTGTTGAAGAAATCTTTCAAATCTGTTGACTTTACTAATGGAGTTGGCTGCAAAAATTGTGGGTTTTCAGATGAAATAGTCTGCTGTAGAACATTTTCATGGAATCTTATCAGGGCATTTAGGCACTCTGTAACTAAAGTTTCTGAGAGCAGGGGGCCATATTTATTAAAGAATACATTTTGCAAATAGATATTCTTTGTACGAGTAGCTAAATACACACCTTTGGCAGAGCACAAGGGTGATGGTGTTCATAGTCTTCGTGGTAAAAAATCTTTTCATGTGAGGACCACTTTATTGAAAGCTTCATATACACTCAGATGTTTGTAGTCTGAGCTAGTCATTTTAAGGTCTTTTTATAGTCGGGAGAGGGAAATGGATCAGAAGAAATGCTTTAGAAATTGCCGTTTCTCTCCACTGATTGTAAAGAAGGCTGAGGATAAGTAGCTCAGACTTAGTTGTCTGAAAGTTAGGGCAGATGAGTCCACCTCCGAGTGTCTAAAATGCTGCATTCAGACAATCACGTTCGTAATTGAGCGCTTGAATCTCGGTGTGACCATTTCTCTTTAGAAAAGGAGCATGTTGGCAGGATACCTTTACTTCAAAATGGTCTTTACAGACTTTTGACTCATAGTGGTGAATTGAGAGGATTTCAGCTCCTGCCAGAAACAGGAGGTATTAACTGTTTTTGGTTTGCTTGAATTACAGGAGCTGGCCTTACAGCCCAAAGATGACATCGTGGACAGAGTTAAAATGGAAGACACCCTGAAAAGGAGGTTTTTCTATGATCAAGCCTTTTCTATTTATGGAGGTACGGATTTGAAGAAATTTACATTTTAATTCCTTTAGGATAATGTTCCAGTCTTTCTAGCTGTGCAAAATGCTGTATTCTTGCAGTGTTATATTAATACAACATAAAATATTTTTTTTTCAAAGTTGGCTTTAAACTTTCCTGCTTGTGTCTGTAAACCTTTCAAAAGTCCCCTCTTCCTAAAGTGTTTAGGTGGGGAGGGGGCTCAAATTTTGTCTTCTGCTTTCTGAATGTAAATGAGTGGACTTTAGGATGCATGTTCTGAGCATTATGTTGTAGAAGATGGTTTCTTTGAGGAGGAGTAGGGTCTTCTGGTGTTTAAGGTGGTGATCAGCTCATTTCTCTGTAACAATTCATCTCTATCTGAGCCCTTCTTGGCAAGATAATGCTGAAAACTACTGTGACCTTTAGAACCTGTTACCTTAATGAACTTTGTCAATGAACTTTATTAAACACGTGAACAAATTTGGCTGTTAAACCTTTTCAGATAGTTGGCTTGAGGCAGCTTGGGGCAGCACAGTGACTGTATGGTTATTGCTCTTTCACCTAAGATACTAAAATAAATACTCTGGTTTGTTTTACTGGCTTTTTCTTTCTTTTTTCAACTTTGTGCCTAAACTAGTGATTGGCAGATAAGCTTTATTGCTGACAATAACATATTGCTCTGGCACATGCATTATCACTTCTGTATTCAGATTCCTCCTTCAGATAGATTGGTCCCACAAAATATAATCCATTAGTGGAGGAAGTGTAGCTTTTACAGTTGTTGATTGCAGGTAGTTATTAGTTTCAGCTTCTACCACTACCTGACACCCCAGTGCACTCTGCGACTGAACTGTATGGGTTAGTGTATAGGGCAGTGTCTGCCTCAGTGGTTCATGAAGTTTACTTTCAGCCTTTATGTTATGGGTCTTTATGTAAAAAGCTTTCTACAGGGAGCCACGTTCCATATTCTGTTTAGCACAGAGAAGCTGATGCTTCATGCTCACAAAATGACCTCAGACTTAAACCAACGGATGGAAACAGTGAGAAGGGAGGACATTTCCTCCAAACAATGTGGATTCATACAGTCTTGCACCAACCACATTTTTTTACCTTTTTCTCTTTGCAGGTGTCAGTGGTCTGTATGACTTTGGGCCTGTTGGGTGTGCTTTGAAGAACAACATCATTCAGGCATGGAGACAGCACTTTATTCAGGAAGAGCAAATCCTGGAGATTGACTGTACTATGCTCACGCCAGAGCCAGTTCTGAAGTAAATATGGGTCTTTTTTTCTGCAGCATGTAATTTCTGGTCATAGTTGCTTTTTACAGTCTTCTGTAAAGTTACCCACAGGGATCTTGAGACTGGGTCACCCAATTTAATACCTATTGCAGTGCAAAATAATTAGATATCAGTGCACAGGTCAGTGTGAGAAACTGTTGTTCCATAAATCAGGGAGAGCAGTGGGACTCATGTCTGAGAGTTTAATGTCTTAATGTCTCTTAGCAGTCCCATTAGGTAAGAAATTGCCATTATTCCTTTTTCTAAAAGATCAAGACGACAAAAAAAAGGATTAGCTGACTTGCCTAAATCTGGGACACCTGGGTCATAGTTAAGGACAGTGGCCAGCCTGCTTGACCATCCTTCCATTCTCTGTGAAGGGATGGCAAGATACAATGTCTTAATTGAGCTCTGAATGCAAATGATGCTTCTGTAGCCCAGGGGATTGTAGCCCTTATTTTATCCACAGACCAGGTAGAGCGACCATCTTCAAGGGTGAGAGCATAGTTTAGACTCTGAAGCTGTTCACCTCCACCTGTCTCTGCGAGGACTTCCAACAAGTTTGCTAAATATGTCAGAAGATTTGGAAAGAGAGTCTGAGCTGCGTCAACTGCGTTACTTTGTCTGGGTCACAGCATAACAGGCAGAAGCATTCACAGATCACTATTATAAAATAGTGGGAATCTGTCCACCTGAACTACTGGTTACTCCTCATAACTACATCTATGTCTTGCTTTGATCATGATACAGTCCCTAAAGGCGCTAAGTGTCATCTTAGTGACACATTTTAAGATTTAGATGTATTGATACTTTCTCACAGATGAGATTTTTTTGGACGCATAGTTTGGACACATAGTTTGAAGGACTTTTCTTGATAATGGTCTATCTGCTGGGATCACACAGGACCTGGGGCTGTTCGCTGTCAGCTTTCATGTTCCTTTTTTTGTATCATCTTTTCTAGGACTTCCGGCCATGTAGACAAGTTTGCTGACTTCATGGTGAAAGATGTGAAGAATGGGGAATGTTTTCGTGCTGATCATCTCTTAAAAGGTTTGGTTATGTTCCAAGGTTAGGTGGGCTTGGGGATTCCTTGCAGTGGTACAAACATGGGAAAAGAGTATCTTTCTCAAGGAACGCCAGTTGGTGTAGCCAGTCTTTCATACTTGTGTTTGGAGTTCATTAATCATACCATAACAAAGATCCCATAAGTTCTCAGTTCCACTCAAATGCTGTGTTAGTGTCTTAAATAAAGTACAGGATCTCTAATAAAAACACTCTTGGGTCCCTTTTTATAAAACCCTCTGTCATCAGGCTATAAAAGATTACTGTGTTGTCTAAGCTGAGGACTCTCTATATAACAAGGTCCCTGTTCTCTACCGTGTTCTGATCTTAGTTTTCTTGAGTTTCAGTTGCTTTTTGTTCAGAACTGAGAAATGATGTAATGATGATATAAGGAGACAGAGCATGCTTCCCTATGCAAAGGTTAGTTATGTGGCAGCTGCTGACTTTCGTATGCCTTAGAACTCAACTGGCTTTTGGGAATGTTAAATAGACTTCAGGCATTTCTTAGGTTTGCAAAGTCCTCACACTTCTTTCTGGTTATTGATTAAATTTTGTTTAAAACACAGCGGGGAAAAAAATCACATGAAGGAATCTTAGAAATAAGAAACCTATTTGAAAACTTTTTCATGTACAGCTCCATTGTGAAAGGAAGGATTGTTCCGCTCTATGTTTAAGTGGGTTGTGGTCCCTAATTTTCTGGCTTTTCCTTGGAAGTTAAGTATGTAGAAATATCTATATTGGCATGAAAGCTGTTTTCGTAATATTCAGTTAGAATTTTTGTTTTATTAAAAAAACCAAAAGAAGCCAATCTAACCTCTGCCCACTCTGCACGCTGAACAGCATCACAGAGATGACTGTCCTTGTCTCTTCTGCAGCCCATCACTGGTGAACAGCCACCTGCTGTTACTGCCACTAAAAAGTCAGATTGCTTTTTTCAAATGAGAGTGGGAAGTCTTGGCATCACTGTCTGCCTTTGTATCTCATGGAGAATGTTATGCTTTAAAGTAGAATGCAATCTAACCCTACTGTACCAACTCAGTACGTGCCTCTGAGTCCATTTGGATAAAATTAGCTTTGCTGGCTTGGGATCAGATGTTGCTTTTAATTTCCAGTCTGTACAGAAAGAAAATAAGGAGAAAGGGACTACAAAGCTACTTCTTGGGTTTAGAGGAACGAGTATTGGAAAGAGGCTAGATAAGGACCTGTTGTTTTCCTTGTGGCACACGGTACAGCGAACTGGTGCAGCTCCGCAGCTGTAGGTCAGCGTTGCCCTGCTGACATGAGTGGAGTTATCCTGACAGACACAAGCAAGGCAAATGGTGGACATACACTCATGCTGGAGGATCCCTCTGATCTGTCTACCTTTAGATTTGGGTCAGTGATGGGGTTGCAGTATAAACTCACTACATACTTTTCTTGCTTACAGCTCACCTGAAAAAGCTTATGTCTGACAAGAAGTGCACAGCAGAAAAAAAGGCAGAAATGGAAAATGTTCTAACGCAGGTAGGTGCCTGCATGAGGCGGTGAATGCTTCAGGGATGTGTGTGTAACAGAGGAAATGCAGTGCACCTAGTCCAGAGGCAGTGTCTCTTCTATGTCTTGAAACGTGCTCAGAAATCTTTACCTCAGTGATCTCATAGGCTGTACATGTTCCTAAATACTGAAAACTTACTGGTTAACAAATACTGTAAACTTGCTGGTGAATTTCATCTCCCTTCTTCTGCTGTTTTGGGGAGTTATTGCTATTATATTAGTCTCTTGAATGTTGGATTGGTAGGGCTTGAAGCTCTGTCCTTGGAGCTGGTCTGCTGTGTTCCACCTCACACCCTGGCAAAAGGCCTGTTTCTTCTGAATCCGCCCTGTATGACACAAAGGAACAGAGATGGATAAGAAGTTTTGTCAGGGTTTTTCTGAATCACCTGAGCACTGAATTGGTATGTTTTAAAGTTGTCTCAGCTTTGAAGCACTTGAGATTTGCTCCTCTGTCTCTAGCACCCTGCATAGATACTTACTTTTATCCTCATGAGAATAGTTGGTGCTCCAGGCTGACATTGCTGAGCAGCTGTAGAAACGGTTGCTTTTATTTTTGTCATTTGTTTTCCTTACTTTGTTTTTAATGTTTTTTTTCTCATGACTTCGAAGATAAATGCTTCCAGAGCCATGCATAGAATGAATATTTCCTTCCAGAAAGAGCAACTTTTTTCAGTGTGTTGCGTCAGTGAGCAGCTGTCATTTGGTTTTCCGCACTACAACACTGAACTTTGACCATCCTTTAGGGGAATCCCTCTATTAATAATCTCCTGTCTTGAGTTTTCTTTGATGTGTGAAGGATCACAACAATTAATGCTAGAAGCAGCTAATTTGATTTAAAACTTGAGTGTTAAATCATTGCTATACTGTTCAGTATAGATCCTCTATGGTCCTTAAGTCTAGAAACTACGTTTAAATGTACATATGCAAAAGGCTAGTACATAAATGCACAAAACAATGTCAGAAATTGCGACTTTTGTGTGGTTAGATTGCAGTTAGATCTGTGGTTCTACTACTGCTTGATTCCCATCTTTCAGAGAGAGAGGAAGGTAGGGTCCTGCAAGGGGCTGACATTATCCCACTTGTGAAAATGTCCAGTTGTTACCAAATTGTTTTCAGAGCAAATGGAAAATCTTTCACCAAGAAGCCCTGTGCTGCAGATTTGCTCTATTTAACTAAAATGCAGAACAGCTCTGAAAGGAAGCATCCAATATATAGTTTGAATGAATCTATATTGTGTTTCATGCAGCAGAAGAAAGAGAAATGAATGCAGACAGGAAGGTAGGGTCCTGCAAGGGGCTGACATTATCCCACTTGTGAAAATGTCCAGTTGTTACCAAATTGTTTTCAGAGCAAATGGAAAATCTTTCACCAAGAAGCCCTGTGCTGCAGATTTGCTCTATTTAACTAAAATGCAGAACAGCTCTGAAAGGAAGCATCCAATACATAGTTTGAATGTTTCATGCGGTTTCTTCTGTTTCATGCAGCAGAATAAAGAGAAATTAATGCAGACAAAGCCCTGCAGAAATTTCAGCTTTCTTCACTCTCATTGCTGTGTTTTTTTCCTTCCCAGCACACTGCTCCCCAGGTTTTAGCTGAAACTGTTCAAAAGAAGCTACTGGTGGGTGGTGATGCAGTCCCAATGACTTTTCTTCTGCTTTACGCCCACTCTCATGCTCAGTGCTTGCATTTCTGTCTAGCCTTCAGACTTCCTGTGGTATGGCTGAGTTGTGGACCTATATGACTAAAATGGGTTTGCAGATGTGCAGTCTATTCTTTTACCATTGGTTCAAACTTTAGCTTGCTTGAAAATTCAGGTTAAAAGGGAGTATTTTGGGCAGGTGATTCAGAGCTGTGGATCGTGCTCACTAGAAGATGAAAAGGGCATAATTCATTGCTGTTATCTAGTAATAATTCTCCTGTGTTTTGATATTAGTTGGACAATTACGGCCAGCAAGAACTTGCAGATCTGTTTGTGAACTACAACGTGAAATCACCCATCACTGGGAATGACTTGTCCCCTCCTGTTTCTTTCAATCTGATGTTCAAGACCTCCATTGGGCCTGGAGGAAACATGCCTGGGTAGGTACTAATCTCATTCTGCTCACACTCTCCCTTCTTCATACATCACTTGGAATAAAAATGAAGTCTCAACAGGATTGAAATACTCAGTTTTTTCTTGAGTAGCTTTCCCCTACCTTTCAGTCCCAAGTCATCTCTGGCAGGCTGGCATTGTGCTGGCATTGGCATTTCACTTTGTACTCTTGGTGAAAGGTAGGAGAAGCAAGGAGCTGTTGCAGAGTCATGAAAATCCTTGAAGCAGCCAGACTAATTGGATCACAGCAATGCCCTTACTGCTTGGAGTTGTTTCCATAAAGACAGTTAATATTGGGTTCCCAATTGTCAGCAACTTCATGGCTATAGAGAACATGCTTCAGTGTACCTGTTTCAGGATGAAGTTAGTTAGCAGGGTGATCCAGTGGTAGCATCATTTGCTAGGTGTTTGTAGTTAGTGTGTGAGATTGTAAAGGCTGTTGTCTTGAGTTGGGGTCTCTGAAACTAAAGCTGAACCCCCAATGAAAAGTGCAAAATGTGATATTTGCATGTGCTCTGGGATGGGATTGGAGATACGTGTCATATGTGTAGTACATGAAATAGTCTGTGTAGGTGGTGTCCCCTGTGGAAGTCTCAAATCACTGTAGGGGATGTAGGGGCCTTACACTAAAGCCACTTCACAGTTTGTGTAACAGCAGAGGTGCAGTCATGGTTTGCCTGCAAAATCCGTGTTTGTAAACAGCCTGGTACAGCGCAAAGGCAAGGAGGCTGCATTCCGTGCGACCTTCTTGATGCCACTGTATTTCATTCAAATGCCTTTTTCCATTCTCTGCTTGCATCTCAAAAGCATCCAAGTCGTCCAGTTTACTTTTGGGAGTAACGATGGAGTGCTGATGTTTGTTTGCTTTTTCCCCCTCGGTCTATTGCTTCATTATTTTGTGTCTGGAGTTAAAAGACTCAAGAGAAAAAGTACCACCTTTAAGTTTTGTAATAACTGTGGATTTTCTTTTCTCACTGCTTTCCCCATCCTTTTATCTTGCTGAATTTTCCTTTTTTCCCTGTCTCCTTTCAGCTATCTGAGGCCAGAAACTGCGCAGGGAATATTCCTCAACTTCAAACGCCTTCTGGAGTTTAACCAAGGCAAACTGCCTTTTGCTGCTGCCCAGATTGGAAATTCCTTCAGAAATGAAATCTCACCCCGCTCCGGCCTTATCAGAGTGAGGTACTGCAAATTTCTTCTTTCAACAGAAGGGTGCCTGGGAGCAGGTAGCACCTTTCTTTTCTTCCAGCATTTGTACATGGTTGTTCCACGCTAGTGCTTTCTTCCAGAGGACTCCTCATAATGTGCCTAGTGAGTCTCTGGGTTCATGGGCAAAGAACTCGATTAAGTTTTTAACTATAGAATTCTATCTAAGCCTGGCTGGTGAAAAGTAGGATCTCTGAAATAGCTGTTGTATTAGAAACACCTAGATTAAACTCAGTTTTACTAACAGAATTTGGCTTCCTTCAAATCTAAACAAATCATATTAAAGGTAGCTGTGTTCTCTACAGGGTATGCAACTTTGCTTGTTTAATTACGTTCACGTGATTTACTTGAAAACTGAAATCGGAATCAAAATGTGATTCATTTTGCAGAAGTATTTCCAGTCTCAGTTCTGCAGATTCTGCAGTTCTGCGACTTACTACAGAGAGGAACTTGGGAGATAACCTGACTCAGGACATGTGTTTACGTCCCAGGAACAGTCAAGCGGGAAAGCTCAACGTTATTGAGAATTACTTTCAAAGCTTTCTGTCTCAGGGTAGAAGTGATTATTGCATTTCATTAAGGATAAACTGTATTTCAACTGAACTATTCTGAACAGAAGTCTCCTCTGTCTTAATTTGGAACAAGAGCTCCCATGCACAGTCAGTGTGGTTCTGCCATACCACAGGCAGTATGTGTTGTAAACTTGGTAATTGGTTAATATGGTGCCATAAATGTCACTGAGAGGCAGTGGCAGCATTAGCACTAAAGAACCTCTGTGGAATTTTCTCAGTCCTCCTGTTCTCTCTTGCACGTCTGGAAATGAGAACTTTTCTCATTGAAATGCATTTTCAGTCAAATATAAATTATATGCTTGTGGTGCATTTATTGGAGACTGTGTTATTATGCTATCATAGCAAATTACATCCTGATGCCTGTGATTTAAAGTTAATGATTACCTAGAGCGTTTTTAAAGGTTCTTGATAACAACCTAATTCAATGTAAAATGATTTCAGACAAGAAGGCTAAGAATCAATGTATAAGTATAGATGTATTAAAGACAAATTCTTAAAAGAGAATGTGCACCACTGCTGATTTAGCAGTATAATTATCTTCAAGAAATTATCACCTCACCTGGCTATTTTAGGCACCTCTGATATGAGTTAAGGCTACCGAATTAATCAGTGGATTACTCTTCATGACCCTGTAGGAAATGTGTGCTTCTAATATGGGCATCACAGCAGTCTGGAAAACTCCAGAGAACTTCTGGAAGTATTTCCAAAGGTGGTGTTCTCTGCTCTGAATCACAGTGGTGGTAACCATGGCCTGGAGATCCCTGGATGAATTTGTAGAAAGTTTTATTAGGAATTTGAAGATGAAAATAAATCCAGTGTCAAGACTGGTATAGATTATCTTAGCTCTGAGTTTGCTTATGTTTTTAAAGTACTGACTTGCTTGTGAGAAGCTAAAGCATAATCAGTTATTAGAAGGGCTGTGGCTAACACAGAAAATCTTTAATACACGTGGTTGTTTATGTCTTCATTAGGGAATTCACCATGGCAGAAATTGAGCACTTTGTGGATCCCAGTGAGAAAAATCACCCCAAGTTTCAGAATGTGGCAGATCTCAACATCCTCCTGTACTCTTCCAAGGCGCAGGTCAGCGGGCAGTCTGCCCATGTAATGCGGCTGGGAGATGCTGTCCAACAGGTAATGTTCCTCTTGCAAGTACATGGAGCTTGCTCTCTTGAAGGTTGCTCTCAAGGCTAAATTACAAACTGTTGAGTTGGTGCCAGCTGGGGTTTGCTCCCAGATTTAAGAGTCAGTTCTCTTCAGTGAACCAGTGTGACTGAGATCTGAGCCTGGCCCTTGTTATCAGTAATGAAAGGCTGCAAGTGGTGCTGGGATAGTGGTTAGAGATTAAGCTTCACACTTACCTAATGGGAGAGGAATGGTAAGGAATACTAATATCTGCCAAAAACTCGGCAGTGACTGGGAATCCAATTCTCAGCTGCTGCCCCCCATCAGTACGTAGCTTGCACGTTGAGGTTTTGCTACCTGATTCTCCTTGCATACAAGTTATGAATAACTAAGTTTACTGACTTCCCCCATTCCCCCAAAATCGCAAATAAAAAACCCCTACCAAAACCCTGCTCTGCCCCTCCAACCCAAACGACCCTCCCAAAACATAAACACCACCACCACCACCACCACCCCCTTGTTGTATTGTAACTGTGAACTGTAGGGTGCAGCTGTTGTGGGGTCCTGAGCCATAACTGCAATTCCCATGCACTGCTGTAATACCAGTGGCTGCACTGTTGGATACAGCAGAGTATTTTCAAGTGGGTGATCTTCAGAAACTATCAGTGATGAGTCCTAGAGCAATAATAACTTGCTGTTTTGCTCAGATGGAGATACTGCCAGTGGCAGTAGGTGAATTTGAAAAGATGTAATAGTTTCAGGGGAGACATAGTACTTTATCACAGGCAGCTGCAGGAAGTGCTGTCTGTAATGTGTCAAGTTGTCTGCAGAAGTACAACAGATGATGACTTTGCTTCCTTAGGAGTTAATGTCTATGAGGTTTTTTTTCTTCCTCTTTTTCCCTTTCCAGGGTGTCATCAATAACTCCATTCTCGGTTACTACATTGGCAGAATCTACCTCTTCCTTACAAAGGTCGGTGTATCCCCAGGGAAGCTGCGCTTCCGACAGCACATGGAGAATGAGATGGCTCATTATGCCTGTGACTGCTGGGATGCAGAGTCCAAAACATCGTATGTAAGTGGCAAAGCAAAACAGCAAGTGGCACTCCCTGTCAGATCTGTTGATAGTGCGGGGAGGGGCTCCGTTTTATTTCTTGTTTTTTAAAACTAAGGATATGAGTCTGATTTCTGTCCAGCCACATGTTGGTATGAACACACTTACTGCAGTGCAAATGTTCTGAATCCTTAGTCCTTACAAATTCTTTGAACTGTTCGTGCTTGTTTGTAGGTCCATGCTTCAGACTCCTCTGGTGGAGCCTTAAGTTGCTCGTGGACATTGCAGTGGTAAAATTTCACCTGGAGTTAAAGGAAAGGTCCCGGTGCTTTCCAAAGACTATAACCCCTGTAAAAGCAGCAGGGAAAGATTTGTTTTGCTAGAGTTACTCCAGGGCGGATTCCTTCCTGCTAGAATGCTTGCTTTTCCATTCCCACTACCAAGCTGTGAGAAATAAGAGTTCACTCCTACCAGTTCAGACAGCAGGTGCTGGGAGAAAAATTTCCCAAGGATTTTTTAGCTTCCTGTTGAGAGGTTAAGAGCTTTTCAGTTCAGGCCTTGTTGGATGCTTTGTTTTTCTCTTATATTGTTGGCTGGATTTTGAAAAATGTCGTCTTTTTTTTTTTTTTTTTTCTTTCAAGTAAACCAGCAGTAGGTAGGTAGGGGCAAGGCTCTTAGACTCATTTTAGGCTCTCTTGGAGAGCTTTCAGCCTCTTCAGGAAATCTCAGCCAAGTATATCAGTTGGAATGATAGTTTCAAAAGAAATATTAGAAGGTGTAGTAACTAGACTGTATTGATTAAGAAGTCATTACCCTCTTTAAGGGTACAGAATCTACTTTTTAGTCGAATCTGAGTTAAAAGAAAGAAAAAGTTATTTCATTATTTTTCCCTCATGTAGTGAAGTGCGCGTTCTTCCTGGTTAGCTTTTCCAAGGCATCTGGGGTGTGTGCAGATTCCTGAAAATAGCTAGAGAACTCTGTGTGATCTTGTTCCAATAAAGGATCAAAAGATCGAAGGGATTTTGCTGAGGTCTACGGGGTTAGCCTGTGACATTGCAGTGACCCTTACATGGGTAGACCCCATCCACAGTCCTGATCAGTTTGATAGCCAAACTGGTAGCGTGCTCGGCCAAAGGTGTCCACACAGGGAATGGGTCAAGGCTTCAAATGGTTCAGACAGCCTTATTTATGGGCAGGGAGAACCTAGGGCTGAGGAGGTTATGTGTGGATGATGGTTTTTGCACATGCAGGGTTTTTTGGTTGGGTTTTTTTGTTTGTTTTGTTTTCTCTCTTTTCTTTTAAGGAGCTGAAACAGGCTTATCACTAGTAATGTTTCATTACAGCTAGTTAGAGCCATAGTAGCCAGTAAAATTCCACTAAATGATGTGAATATGAACAAAAATAATATGAACAAAAAAATTCCTACAGCTTGGATGAGTGATTGTCTTCATATAGAAAAGCCCTGTAGAAACAATAGAAGGAATGGCTTCTTCTGACTGTAGATAGCAGCCTTTCTTTCCAGCCAGCCCAAAACAGGCTCGACATGTGTGGGTCACAATAAGATTAATAAACTTTGCAAGCTTTGTCACAGATCAGGACAACACTCACAGAGCAGTATGTCCAACAGCCTCATGCAGAGGTGAAGACAGCAATCCCAGAGGCATGACAAAACCACCTTGTGAGCTGGACTCACGCTTTGGTTTGTCATTTAACTCTGACCAAAAATGTTTATACAAGCCTTCGGCGCTCTGTAGTAAGAAGTTAACTACACTGAATGGTTTAAAATCCATTCTATGAAGTTGTTAAATAAACCTCCTGAGAAGTAGCTGTAGTACCCTAATGGTTCAATTTGTTTAAAATTTCCCAAGATGTTCTGGAACACCGTGTTTTTTCCAGAACAGGGATTTCTGCTGTTCACATACCTTTCCTGACACCCTGCTATATCACTGCAGACTGGAAATCTATGCAGCATCTGACTGTATCCTCATGCTGATGTGACGGAGTGAATGGAAAGCAGCTCATATGCCTTTTCTTTTATGGGATTATCTTTTAGAAAATCCAGGTGGTGTTTGTATTTGCTGCAAGTGTTCGAAGGTTTCATCAGTTCCATGTGTATGAATGGTGTTTTGAGATTCCTCTTTGCCATACATGCTGAGATGTTGAAAGAAGTGCTTCCCTTGCATATGAGCTGTGTCTTACTAGCTCGCAGGCCAAGCTTTTGGCCGTTCTAGTGTGGCTGGTTGCCTGCTGTCTATTTCGTATTTGCGGAGCAGCAGAGCCCCCAGGGCACGATGTCTTCGTGTGCCTGTAGCATGTGAGCGATAGGATTGTATACTCTGGCCCCAGCCCCGAGCTATCGGCACAGTGCTGCGTTCTGCCAAGTCGTGTGGAAAACCCGGCCCTGAACACAGGCACTGGTTAGATAACTGATCGTTTCCTCTGGAAACAAATGGAATCATTCAAATGAAGGAGCAACTAGTGAGTGAGGGCTGCTTATTGTAACAGAGCTAATTATGTAGAAAAAACACTCATGGGAGCAGGGAGGGCTTAAGGGTGAATAAACATATTTGATGGTTAAGTGGACAAAAAAGTGAGTTGGTAAAAGCTTCCACTTCTGTTTTTTCAGGGTTGGATTGAGATCGTTGGCTGTGCTGATCGTTCCTGCTATGACCTCTCCTGCCATGCCCGTGCCACCAAAGTTCCTCTTATAGCTGAGAAGCCTCTCAAAGAACCTATATCCTTTCAGAATAAACCAGATTCTCGTGCAGTGAAAAGTGATTTGACAGTGAGAGAGTTTTGGAGAGCTGTGCACCTCTGTTTTAAGTTAGATCTGTAAATTTAACAGGGTAAACCTAGAGCAGCAGACGAGCGTGACTTTGGGAAATAACCTGGAAAGGATTGAGCATGTGGGTGACTTTACTCAGGTGGGCAAAAGGGATTTACTATTGTGCTTGGGTTTTTTTTCTAGCTTAATGCTAGGCTCTGTTTTGACTGTCAAGCATGGTTCAAATGTGAATGTGGGGTTACTATTCCAGGTTACTTCATGTCACACCATGGTTCTGCTGCTAGCTGTACTTGTAAAAAAAAGTTGTATTCTTTCAAAATTTGTGACCTTTTGCCCTTCAGTATTTTTTATTGTTGCTTTCCTCTATTGGAGAGAAGTTCCTTAATCCACTAGCAGAGGAGATTTCTTTGTGTCATGTAGCAATTAGCTTTGACATAGCAAAAGATCCAGTCCCTGCTTTCTGTCATCTTGAACTCCTTAACTGCCCTGTACAGAACAGTCAACATTGTTCAGTTTGAGGCAAATAAGGGAGCCATTGGCAAAGCTTATAAGAAGGATGCAAAGGTGGTGATGGAATACCTTTCCATATGTGATGAGTGTTACATCACCGAGATGGAGCAGCTGCTCAATGAGAAAGGGTGAGCTGACTGCGTGTGCATGGTACCCTTCTCTGACACCTCTGATGAGGGTTCCTGAAGTGCTGCTGGATTAGTTTGAGCCACTTGAAACCAGCTTCCTCCTGAGAGTAGGCTGAGTGGATCATCTGAAACATGCTGTCCCTTCCACCTCATCATGGCTGGTTATAGAATCATAGAATGGTTTGGGTTG